ATTCCTGTTATTTAGCCCACCCTCATTAAAATAAATGGAGTGGACATAATAACAGAAACACTTGTCACTATAACACAATACAGTTAAACAGTACCACAAACTACATCTTCCAAAATGCAGTTGAATCAACACCTATCTGAAACAGTAAAAAAATAAAAATAAAAAAACAAACATTATCTTCTTCATGAAGGAGGCTTTATTGCAGGGCTGTTGGATTGCATGAACTTTTAGCTAGGTGTCCCTAATAACCTGAAACAGGTGTAACGTTACTCTTCTACTGTTACTGAGGAGGAGAGTTACCTTCGTCACAGTTGTCACCGTGCTTGGATGGATCTGAGCAGATGTGGCAGGCAACACCCTTGAAGCCCGACTTACAGCTACATGAGCCGTTGCCATGGATACCATCAAAGCACTGGTGGAACAAAAATAACTAAAATATAAAACGCATCAACTGAGAGACAAGGCTGAGTGACAGAGCTGTCGCTCACCGTTCCTTTATCGTAGCAGGGATGCTGGAATCCTCCAATACAGGGTTTACAGTCTGGACCATAGAAACCTTTACAACACTCTTCTACCTGGCAAGCAAACACACACACACACACACACACACACACACACACAATCATGGACAGATTATGAGAAAATGGACCCACAGGCACCGACAGATAAGAGGCCCCTCACCCCTTATAGGACCATCAATAGTTTAGTGTGTTTATAGTTGTTCTGTCTCTCTTTTGGTAGTTTTGCATCTCATTTTAAGTTTTATATTTCTTTATGGCTATTTATGGGTTCCACATTAGCAAAAAAGAAAGGAACAACTATGATGGTTTTTATGTAAAAAAAAAAAAAAAAAAAAAAAAACGATGCATTTTTCAGTGCTTCCTCTCTCACCTTTTTGGTGGTGTTGGCGCAGTTTTTGGCGCAGCCTTTACTGAGTGTTGGATGGAGAGGAGACACGACGTATTCACAGCCAATCTGATGACTGTCCTGAAGAGACAGAAACACAGATTTGTTGGATTGCTGTTCTCATCCACGTGGCCAAACAGGTCATATGGCAGAAGGAAAAATATTGGTGTGGAAAACTAAATGTGATTTCTGAAACACTGATCTGGCAACCAGAAAAACAGTAATTAAAATTATTTATAAGAACATTTTTAAGTAAGACAATATTGTAATTAAAGTTAGTTACTTTTATTTCTTTCCAGCCTAGAGGGTCTAGTGAGACTCAAAACTGACTGTATAAGCCAACAAACTGTACAAAATGCAGCCTCCAGTCCAAAGCTAGTGTTAGCAGACTAAAAAGTAAATGTGTCAATCAAGTAGAATGCTCTGGTCACTGTTAATATCATATAAAGCACTAATGTTGCACAAAACTTGAATTATTCCCAAATTAAAATCATAGTAATTCAAAGGTAAAATTATGACCATGCTAGGTCGCTAATGTTACCAAAACAAACACATTAGCTTTAGATGCCAACACATCCAGAAGGAAGAACTCATCTGAATCAAATCTGAGACCTTTAGCTACTTTTAACCCTCTCCATCTAGAAAAAGACAAAAATTGTAACCCTTGTTTATCTCTTTCTTTCATTCTCTCTGTGTAAAAGAAGCCACCTCTTCACTCTGGCAGCCACTACAGCTGAGACGCACCACGTCCTCTCCTGTTGTCACTGGATTTATCGGATGTTGTGTAAAATCTTAATGCACCTTTAATTGTGAAACTATGCCAATTGGGTGAACAAGAAATAACATAAACCATACTCTGTGTTCAACAGACTGAAACCAGGAGAGTTAGACATTATACATCTTCTTTCTGGTCATTATGGAACATGTTGTATACCAAAATACTGTCTCATACAGATGGGAGGTTGAGAGGAGGTCAAATACAGGAATGGTGTATTGTACCATTTCAGTGCTGCCATCTGGGCACTCAGTGTTATGGAGGTAACTGCAGTGAACACATGGACCCACAGTGATCTCGGTCTCAATGATATCACAGCGGTGAGGCAGGATGGGGAGGATGGAGGGCGGGTACAGCAATCCATCAATCATATGTATGATCCCGTTGGATGCCATGATGTTGGTGCTCACCAGATGGATGCCCCTTTCACCCAGTAGAATCTCACCCTGGGTGAGCAGGTAGTGTTAACAGAAATCGCTAATGTTTATTATTAACCAGTAAACAAGACAAACTCAGAGACACTTTGAATAATCAGACACTCACATCATCAGACACAGTAATGGTGACGAACTGATTGGCCATTGTCTGAATCCGAGGAAGGGCGGCCAACTCATCGACTGTCAGCTATTGTTAGAAAAATTTAACATCATGAGACGAAGGAATGCTGAGACTTTGAAAATTATCAAGGCATCTTTAATTATTCTTGCAAGAAGGAGCATACAACAGCTACTCAAAAGTATCTCTGCAGTAAACTCAAAGGAGTGAACCGCCTCGAGAGCTACTTATACTATTCACTGCAGTTTTATTGCTCTTTGTTCTCCCAGGCAAACATTTGTCCCCTCCAAGTGCGGGGGTCAGGTCACCATGTATTTTTTTCTTATCAGGAGATTGCCTATGTCCTGACTTCCCAACCTAAAGAGCAATAAACTTTTACAAGCAGTTTCCTGAGTTCCTTAAGCTAAAGAACATCATTTTACAATGACTACACATTTGCTCACACAAGAAGGAAAGTTATGTCCAACAAACAACAGCCTAAAGACTCTGCTGTTCTCAAGACTAAAATTGTCTGTCCTGAGGGTGACACTTGAGGGTTGCTCAGGGGTCATTAAAGGATATATTCACAATTTTACAAGCCTGTTTTAAAACAACTGTTAGGTGCATCTGTTAATACGGCAGCAGGTTTTCTTGCTTTAATAATTCCTCCTGTTCATACTGGCCATTACTGGCCTTCTCTAATGTGCTTCCAATGTAAGTGATGGGAAAGTTGAGGCCAACATTAAGTTTTAAGCAATCTGAAATAGTCAAGTGAAGTGGGTATCTTCCAGAGGTTTTACTGTAAAATTCCCCCTTTGTGTTTCCTGGTTCAGCTGCAGTGGACAGACTAACAAAAAGTCGAGACAATTGTTAGACTCAATGAACTCAAACTGTTTATTTTAAGACAGACTTGAAACCTTTAAATCAACATACCTCTAAGATTAAGAGGTAAGTTGTGTAGATGTGGTCTGTTAGGTCATGATATTTTGTATCTTGTTGTGGATCAAGACAAAAGGCTAAAAGGAAGAGAGAAGCAGGAAGGAAGGACTAACAGACTGATGCATTGTTGGAGGAAGTGTGGGGTGGGGGTGTCTTACCACAGCCTGGGTGAAAACATGGTGTCTGAGGAGTTCCTGAAGTTTATGTTTGGCCTTGAAAAGAGCAGAATATCATTAAGCAGTTCTGATAATCTACACATAACATAATAATAGCTATGTTATTAGCACTACTTAGCACATTATGTAGCTAAGTATACATAGTGTCATCTTTTAAACTTACTTTGGGCTCTTCCCAACTACACTACATAAACAAGAACACTCAGAGTGCACGTACATGTACCTGCGCCAAGGCACAACACAGGCTTACACAAATGGACCCCTTGTGAAAAATGAGCTCCAGAACAACAGTTTAGTGTCCTAAAATCCTTGAACTTTACCGGATGCAGATCATCTTTTATGGTATGATAGGCAGTTCTACTGTGCATCTCACCTGAACATTTCAGGGTTCTATCTTCATTACAGGCCAAGCTATGGCAGAAAATACAGTATGCGTTAAATGGGGTTTTCAATGTTAAATTTAAATGGCCGTCAGATCTGGGATCTGGATCAGATCTGGACGAAATATGGTCTGATGACAGACAATGAACTATTTTGGTTTAAATTTTTCCCCATGTTTATGGGAATTTTATTTGACCTTTGACCTTTTTCAGCCAAAATCTAACCACTTCTAAGGTTAGTCCCCACCAATGTCTGTACCAAGTATGCTAATGACCCATCCGACTGTTTGTCTGTAATCCTGCTAACCAGCAAACACACACACACACACACACACACACACACACACACAACGGAAACATTACCTCCTTGGAGGAAGTAATAAAAACTTGAGTACTAATTACACCTGATGCCCATCCCCATATCATTACATCATTCAGCATGTACAGGATGCTGCCATCTCTGGCTCGGTCCACAGCCTGGTTGGTGGGGACAAACACAGTCAGGGGTCCTGGGCCCCGCAGAGGAGGGGGTGACCCACAGTTCTACAAGCACACAACCGGATAACTGGTTAACATCAGTTATAGGTTCTTGGCCTAAGACAGAAGTAAACAGTTGTAAACCAAGTAACAAAGCTTCCAATTTTGACCCAGCAACCGTGGATTTATCAAAAATTATGACCACTCACAAGCAGTGTGAAAAAAGCAGCAGCTAGCTAGCTAAATAAGCTAATGCTAGGTTAATTAAGGTGGGTAAATCCCAATTCCCTTAGATTGTAACTCACTCCTCGAGCCTCGCTCAACCTGGGCGTCATTCCGGTCCAAAGAAGTCTTTTGTAGAGTGACATGCCCCTTTATCATAAATGAGTTGATTGCTTGATTCATGTCTCCAAAAACATGTTTCCTCCTTTCCTCATAAACTAAAACTTATTTAGTAGAAATGTGTTTTTTCTTTCTAGCTGGACTTGTTGTACCACATTTCAACAGGGCTAAGTGGGTTGGTGGTTCCATTGCTTCTCATTTAACAGAATTAGTAGAATATGGTTCACTTTTAACACTTTTTAGGATAAAGATTCAACGAGTATGGCAAAAGTAATACTATTTCTGATAAGTTCTGCTAGGACTGCTCAAGTGTCAACTTACCCAAGTCAAAAATAGCAGAAAATAGCTGCTAACATTAGCCTAAATTCTGATAGCGTATTATCAAAATGAAAATAAGGTAATATAAAAATGATGTTGGTCTTAAAAATACCACTACTTTACTAATGTAGACAGCAATCTAATTAGTTAGCCATGTTAATGTTAGCATCTCGCATTAGAGCAGCCAAATTTATTCATGACACTTTTGCTCTTTGACCCTTGAAAATCTTTAAATGCTGAATTTCTCTGTTGCTGCAGCTCCATGCACACATCTCCATTACACCTGAAACACTCCATCAGGAGATAAAACCAAACAACTGTGTGACGTTATCATACAGAACAAAATACTCACATCAACCAGAGACAGGAAGCGGTTGTACTTTCCATCTTTAGTCAGAATCTCTCCAATTGTCTTATCAGCAAACTGGACAGAGATGGAAGAAGAAACTCAAATGGCTGACATTCATAGACTGCAGCAAAAACAGATGAGTTCAGGATAAAAAGTTGGACTGTATTGTTTTAATATAGGCAGCACATTATGAAAATCAGGAAATCATTTAGTATCAAACATACAGAGAACATTTCCTCAAAAATGCTTCGATAAGATTGTCTAAGCTTTTTTGACACTTTTGTTCTATTACTGATGATGGTACATTTACAGTTAACCTTGTATTTTGTGCTTTCAAGGAGTTTTCTATAGTTGGTGAACTGACCCTTTAACTCACCTGTTCGTCGTGAGGAGGCTGCTCAGAAAGTGTGTTTATGATTGGCTGATTGATGATGTGGATGATCCCGTTGGCTGCTGGCAGGTCGTCCTCCAGGATGGTGAACAGTCTGCTGGGGTCATCCATCAGAATGAACCTCTGCAACGATAGACGCGGCCAGTGTGTTTATGTGCACTTCACTAATCTGGTTATTTATTATTATTATTTCTGCAATAATCTGATTTCTTTAACATTGTGTAAACCAGAATCCATGTTTCATCTGATTTATTTGATGTGTAGACATGAAATTTGGTTTCTAACAAAGTGTTCACAGGTGAAAATGTGCGCAAAGGAAACTTCAGACAGGGAATGTCACTCTGGTAACAGGATGACAGTAAGCATCATTAATATATAACTATACACAGACTTGTAACAGTCAAATACATTGACACAGTCTTCTCTTATTACAGAGCCTGTCCTCCACACACTTTCATTAGTAGATCATCATTCTGCCACACTTATCATTTAATATGCAATAATCTAGTGTGTAGAGGCAAAGGTTGGAACACACACACTTGGAAGAAACAAAGAGTCTGGAGAAATGTCTGAACAAAGCTCCACCCACTCTCTCATCACAGACAAACAGGAAAAACAACTTACTATTCCTTGGTACAGAGTTGAAATGTTCACACGGAGAGACGATAAAATTCACCTTTACACCAAAAAACTGAAGAGAACAGCTGGAACACTGGGATTACTGGAATACTTCAAATGCTTTCAGCCTTCACCCTGCTGTTGACTCCACATATTTAACTGGTAAAGACAAGTTAAAGTTAAAGTAACTTTGAAAGAACTATACTGACTGACTTCCTTCTCTGCCTGCTGTGTTTACTGCTTCAGCCACGGACAAAATGTCTTGCCGATTAGAGGAGGATCTCTCCTGTCCGGTCTGTCAGGACATTTTTAAAGATCCTGTTGTCCTGTCATGCAGCCACAGCTTCTGTAAAGGCTGTCTGCAGAGATGGTGGGAGGTGAAACAAACACGTCAGTGTCCATGCTGTAAAATAATATCAAGGGGTGAGCCTACTCGTAACCTGGCTTTAAAGAACCTGTGTGAGGCCTTCTTACTGGAGACAGACCAGAGAGCTTCAACAGGGTCTGAGGGTCTCTGCAGTCTGCACTCTGAGAAACTCAAACTCTTCTGTCTGGACCATCAGCAGCCAGTGTGTGTTGTCTGTCGAGATTCAAAAACACACACTGACCACAGATTCAGACCCATCGATGAAGCAGCACAGGATCACAGAGAGGAGCTCCAGAAATCCCTGAAGCCCTTACAGGAGAAACTGAAGCTCTTTGAACAAGTTAAAGGAAACTGCGATCAAACAGCAGAACACATTAAGGTCCAGGCCCAAGACACAGAGAGGCTGATTAAGGAGCAGTTTGAGCAACCTGGCCTTCAACATCTGGAACAAGATGAAGGAGGTGGTCTCCTACACTCCTATGGTTCTGGATCCAAACACTGCTGACCCAGAACTCCATGTGTCCAAAGATCTGACCAGTGTGAGATCTGGTATGCGACAACAGCTCCCAAAAAACCCAGAAAGGACCAAATTCTCTTGCTCCGCTCTCGGATCTGAAGGTTTTAACTCAGGGACTCATAGCTGGGATGTAGACGTTGGAAAGAACAAGGACTGGGAGCTGGGCGTGTTGGGAGAATACATCCAGGTGAACGGACGGTTACAGTCTGGACTGTGGAGAATTATGTTTTCCAACAGTAAGTTCACAGCGTTCTCCACATCAGGCTCAGAGAAAGATCTGCCACTGAAGAAGCAGCTCCAGAAGATCAGAGTTCATCTGGACTTTGACAGAGGAAAGCTGTCGTTCTCTGATCTTGATACTAACACACACATACACACATTCACGCACACGTTCACTGACACCCTGTTTCCATATATTTACACTGAGAACAATCTCCCACTGAAGATTTTACCAGCAACAGTCTCTGTGACAGCGGAAAAGCATTGTTAGAGATTACGATGACAGAGTTTAGCAGCATTTCCCATGAGTTCACTATCACAGAGTTACTATTTGCCAAGGTATCGTTATAGTAGTCGACCACTATGAGCAATGCTGCAAATCAGTGGCAGTGCTGGACTTACATTAGTATTGATTTAATGAAGTGGAGGAGTATATTAATGTTTTCTTCAAAATCATTTTTCATATTTAAATAAATTAGACAAACTTGTCAAATACAGTAATTTTATCTTAACACAAAACCAAAAAAACAGTGAGATTGTTTAAATTAAGGACTTGTTGTTCCCCCTTGTTTGCGAGTACCCTCATGTAAATATTACATTTAACAGTTGTTAAAATTTCATACATTTTGAAGGGGACAATGGCCACTTGACTGGGCGCTAAGGCCAAGACAAATGAGATGATATGTACTGTATGTGTACATTGCTTATGTATATAGTCTGAGCAGAAAAATGACAAACTAGAATAAAGTGTAGATGCTTGTAGAATGGTTAAAGGGAAATATCCAGAGGCAGTATAGTAACACACAGCTTTAATATAAATTTTGGATGGTAAATGGTGTTATCTGTGCACATTTAGAAGGCAAACTAAGCTCTTATTCTCTACTCTCTGCTGATGTTGCCTAACATCGCGGGTCAGAAGAATCATGGATCTATTAAGGAGAAAACAGAGGAAAGGGCATATAATTTCTCTTAAATACTGAAGATCACTAACTGTTTGTAAAAATGTTGTTACCAAGCAGTGTTAAAGAGTGATCATTTTATACCAACTTACAAGACTCACAGAGGTTTTATGAGGAGGACTCCCGGGTGAACAGCTTTATTAAGCACTGTTCTCCTTAATACATCCATAAACACACACCTACGTGAGTGACTGAGCGTGACCGATCATTTACAGAGATCGCTCCTCAGATCTGATGGATCTGAAGAGGGCACGCCAGTCACTGTGGCCATGAAGTCCAACAGATATGCTGGGCATCACTGCGACATCAGTGTAATTAAAATTAGTTATTGCTATGTCAACAATATGAATGCCAAGAACACTGATGAAATAAAAATTAAAACTTATTTTATAGCTTGTTGTGATTTCTCTCTAACATTTCTTTGGGTTACTCCGATTACAAAACGGTATCATGCCCGGACTTTTTCACGAGTTGCCCTTTCACACATGTAGCACACAACGGGAGACTGTCTGTGTCAGACGTGTTCTCACCTACTGGAAATACTCTGTTTGGTTGATGCAAGGAGGGGCGTGCCCAGGTAGAGTGCACAGGAGGTGGGATATGATGAGGTCAGGTAGCCGGTTTGTAATTTGGTCATAAACAACAGTCTCTTGCTTTGTCTGACGATTCTGGCTCCGGCTCTTAACAACAGAAGTTCCTGAATCACGTTGCGTGTCCAGTTTGGTATTTTAGTTGACGTCTTCACTGTAAATGACCGTTTAATTTCACCATCAGATGTTTGTGTTCTTCCAGTTTTGCGCCAGTCACATGATAGAATGTCATCAACAAGCCCAATAGCTCCATGTGAATACTGTGGACTATAAGCTGCTGTATACTCACATGGGCTCAACTCCAGCTGCCTCGGACCTTACGAGGTCTTTGTACTAGGGAGCTAGCAGAGTAAAGTTCACCTAATGTCCAGGTGGACTGACTTGGACATTAGTGTTGTCACATACAACTCCACCGGGTAACGTCTAGATAATTTCAGGGTTCCAGTGCATGTTGTGTGCCTGTGATCATCATAAATATCTAGACAGTTTGACCCTTACAGCTAAATATCAATAATATTTTAACAGCTAAATATCTAAGGTATTGTAAACTTTTTAAGATACAACAAAGCTTCTAGTCTTGAGTTTTCTGACAAATCAGTACAATGGAACTGAAGCTTTATTTTCTACTTCTAAGTTCTACTTTAACCCATCTGTTAAGTTCAATTCTCAGGAACAGCAGTGATGTTCCTGGGTTAATTTTACCATTACTAACCATTTCAATCACTATTTAGTGCAATGGTGTTCTTTACCTCTCACAAATTATGGTTCAATGAGGATAATGCACTCATTTTTCATAAAAAATGCATGTTAACGCTATTTTAATGTACATTGGAAAGACCTACATATAAAATACATTATTTTTACATGACATAGGTTTTTTTTTATTTTATTTTACATTTTGAAATCTTTTCTTTTTATGAAGTAAAGACACTGGAGAGAAGCATTACCTTGTTGCCTTTGGTCCTCAGCTTGGCTCCTCCGTACAGGTTGAAGTCTCGTCCCTCCAGATCCTTGTAGAGGTGCTGACCCAGGATCAGGTGGTTTTTACACACTAGCTCATCATCAACACCCTGCAGAGACAGTGTAGGTGAGTAGATCACT